GTCATTTTTAATATCTGTCCCTGAAAATGAATCAGGAAGCATATTGACCAGTGAAATTTGGCCGGATAGTGTTGTGCTTAACTTATTTCGATTCTCAAAAAACCGTGCAAATTCCGGAAATTCCACAAATTCCAGAAACACCAATCGCTCAGTGCGGGCCGAGGAAAGTGTTGATAAAAACCAATCTTAATCCTATTAATAATATCAGTAAAATATCAGATTACTCCGAATGCTCTGTGCTGCATCTCAATGTCCAAAGTTTATCAAATAAAATTAATGAATTAAATATACTATTAGCAGAAAATTTGATTAACATATTATGTATATCTGAACATTGGTTAAACAAAAATGATTTGGAGACTATAAATTTACAAGGATATAAACTAGTTACCGCGTTTTGTAGGGATCATAGAAAAGACCACGGTGGTGTTGCCATATACGCTATGAGTAACATGGAGTTGTGCAGCATTGACGTCTCCAAGTTCAGCAAACCTTTTGATGCGGAATTCTGCGCAGTTGAAATAAAAGGAAGAAATTGTGTTATAGTAACTCTTTATAGATCCTCTACTAAAGGTGATATGCGGACTTTTATAGACTCGTTTCTGGGTCTGATTGATGAACTTTGAAACTTATACAAAAACATTATTATCCTAGGTGATATAAATATAAATCTAGACAGCAGCACGGAGTACGCCGGTGATCTGCGAAATTTGCTCAGTACTTATGGTCTGAGACATGTCATTCACACACCAACAAGAATTACTTCAACCACAAGATCGTGCCTTGATAATATTATCACTAATTTAGGTGATTCCGATATGAGGACAGGTGTATGTGAACCGCACATCTCAGATCATAGTGCGGTCTTTTTATCATTTAAATCGACAATATCGGAAAGCAATATTTCTTATAAAAAAAGGATTGTTAACGAACAAACAATTTTAGAATTTGTAAACAAAACTAGTGATATTAGTTGGAATGATTTTGATTGGGAAAACACCAATGCTAGTCAATCGGTTGAATATATAATAAATAATTTAACAAAACTCACAAAAAATTGCTTTCCAACAAAGTCGGTTTACTTCAAAAGACCTCAATTCAAATGGTTCACCAAGGATTTGAGAGATGCACGAAAAGAGGTGCGTAGGTTATGGAAAAAATTCAAGAACTCAAATGGTCTAACAGACTGGCAAGTTTACCATACGAAACGTAAGGAATATAAACGAGACCTAAAAGAAGGAAAGAGGAATGCCTACGCGGAAACAATAAACACTGCAGAGAACAAGAGTAAAGCTATTTGGAATATCGTTAATAAGGAAAGGAACGTTAAAAATAAATATGAAAACAATTTTCCATTTGATCCCGATAAATTCAATAGTTTTTTTTCATCGGTATCTGATACTATAATTAGTGAAATTGTCGATCCAAATATTGATCCCTTATCATTTCTAAATGGTCTTCCTAGGTCACCTCATTCTTTCTTCATGGCTCCATTCATTGAATCTGATGTGCGTGAAGCAGTACTCTCCTTGCGAAACAAACCCGGACTTGACTACTACGGGATGAACGCTACGATTCTCAAAGCATCTCTCAACTCTTTGGCACAGCCACTTACAAATATGTTCAATAAGTGTGTAAGCGAAGGTGATTGGCCGCAACAGCTGAAGGTATCAAAGATTGTCCCCGTTCATAAAAAGGGACCTACTGATGTTCTAGACAATTATAGGCCTATAGCTGTGATGCCAGTTATCTCGAAAGTTCTGGAAAAGTTAATTAAATATAAACTCAGCGCGTACTTAGAAACTAGATCAATACTTATCCCCGAGCAGTTTGGATTTCAAAAAAAGAAATCTACAACATCAGCATTGATTAGTGTTATCGATAACATAGTGGAGGGCATTGATCAAGGAGCACAAACATATGCTGTAATGTGCGACTTGACCAAGGCATTCGACTGTGTTAACGTAATTATTTTAGAACAAAAATTAGAATTCTATGGTATTCGGGGAGTAGTATTGAAATTGTTTCACTCTTATCTAAATGACAGAAAGCAATATGTAAGTCTAAACAACCAAATATCTAGCCTAACCACAGTATGCAACGGGGTGCCTCAGGGTTCGATACTGGGCCCGATATTATTTCTATTATACGTAAATGATCTACCTAGGGCTGTCGACAACTTAAGCTCATTCAGAATATTTGCTGATGATACCACGATTCTTACTAGAGGGAACGAGAGACTGAGCAAAGAAAGTCTTTGCATGACTAAAGATTGGTTTGCCGCAAATAAATTAAAAATGAATGAAAGCAAAACACAACAAATTTTGTTTAGTTCTGACAAATTAGCAATTAAATCTGAACCAGTAAAGCTATTAGGAATTACATTAGATACAAGACTTACCTGGCACAATCATACAGACACTCTATGCTCAAAACTCTCTTCCCAACTCTTTGTAATGAGACAATTGCGTTCTGCCATTAAGATAAATAACACTTTAAAAACAATTTATTTTGCGCTTATTCACAGCCATTTGTCCTACGGCATTACACTATGGGGACAATCCAGCAGTGCTCACAAGGTCTTTTATATGCAAAAGTCTGCGGTGCGCATTGTGGATGGTGCTCAATATAAAGCAAGCTGCAAAGAGCTGTTCAAGAAGTACCATATTCATCCGCTTCCTTGTATATTTATTTTTGAGTCACTCATTCTAATTCATAAAAATTTGAATAAATATGCAAGACATTCTGAGGTACATCATTATAACACACGAGGAGCGGATAATCTGGTGACTTCTTATAGCCGTATACAGCTAACACATGTAAATAAGTTAGACATAAGGCTCTACAATCAATTTGATAGCTTATTTCCAGCAATAAACATTCAGGGATTATCCTCCAGAAAATTCCACACGTTAGCTAAAAACTTCCTCGTGGAAAACTGTTTTTATTCTGTTGAGGAATTCCTAAATTCTAAATTTTAACTTTTAAGTTTAAGTTTAAGCTTCTTCATGTGTATATGGACTCCAAATACTGTATTATGTATCAAACGGGTCAATAAATGTATTGTATTGTATTATTATTATTATTATTATTATTATTATTATTATTATTATTATTATTATTATTATTATTATTATTATTATTATTATTATTATTATTATTATTATTATTATTATTATTATTATTATTATTATTATTATTATTATTATTATTATTATTATTATTATTATTATTATTATTATTATTATTATTATTATTATTATTATTATTATTATTATTATTAATTATTATTATTATTATTATTATTATTATTATTATTATTATTATTATTATTATTATTATTATTATTATTAATTATTATTATTATTATTATTATTATTATTATTAATATTATTATTATTATTATTATTATTATTATTATTATTATTATTATTATTATTATTATTATTATTATTATTATTATTATTATTATTAATATTATTATTATTATTATTATTAATATTATTATTATTATTAATATTATTATTATTATTATTATTATTATTATTATTATTATTATTATTTTTTTTTTTTTTTTTTTTTTTTTTTAATTTGGTGTCATCGGCGTCGACTACTACGGCCATTAGCCTCGTGTTCTGTGTAGGCTTTGTTACTGTTTCCCAGCGCCACTTTAGGAACAGCACTGTTAATTAAAACCCAACAGTGAATGGTCGAGTGGGGAATCCTACCTATGCATTAGAATTAATATTTAATTTTTTAATTAAATAAAAATTCCTGCCACCGGTGGGATTCGATCCTGAGACCTTCCGATCTCAGAGTCATGACTCTAACCACTGAGCCAACCCACCCCCCTATTATTATTATTATTATTATTATTATTATTATTATTATTATTATTATTATTATTATTATTATTATTATTATTATTATTATTATTATTATTATTATTATTATTATTATTATTATTATTATTATTATTATTATTATTATTATTATTATTATTATTATTATTATTATTATTATTATTATTATTATTATTATTATTATTATTATTATTATTATTATTATTATTATTATTATTATTATTATTATTATTATTATTATTATTATTATTATTATTATTATTATTATTATTATTATTATTATTATTATTATTATTATTATTATTATTATTATTATTATTATTATTATTATTATTATTATTATTATTATTATTATTATTATTATTATTATTATTATTATTATTATTATTATTATTATTATTATTATTATTATTATTATTATTATTATTATTATTATTATTATTATTATTATTATTATTATTATTATTATTATTATTATTATTATTATTATTATTATTATTATTATTATTATTATTATTATTATTATTATTATTATTATTATTATTATTATTATTATTATTATTATTATTATTATTATTATTATTATTATTATTATTATTATTATTATTATTATTATTATTATTATTATTATTATTATTATTATTATTATTATTATTATTATTATTATTATTATTATTATTATTATTATTATTATTATTATTATTATTATTATTATTATTATTATTATTATTATTATTATTATTATTATTATTATTATTATTATTATTATTATTATTATTATTATTATTATTATTATTATTATTATTATTATTATTATTATTATTATTATTATTATTATTATTATTATTATTATTATTATTATTATTATTATTATTATTATTATTATTATTATTATTATTATTATTATTATTATTATTATTATTATTATTATTATTATTATTATTATTATTATTATTATTATTATTATTATTATTATTATTATTATTATTATTATTATTATTATTATTATTATTATTATTATTATTATTATTATTATTATTATTATTATTATTATTATTATTATTATTATTATTATTATTATTATTATTATTATTATTATTATTATTATTATTATTATTATTATTATTATTATTATTA